CTTTGACTCATCTTTAGCCTGGATGCTCGCCTAGAAAAATGGGAATCTGATGCCCTGCAACCTGAGAAGAACTTAGCCTAAACCCAGTTCTTGGAAGAGATTTGCTGACCTTTGGCTTGTCATACAGCCCCTCGTCTTCCATCTCGAGTAGCTGCAGTGGTTTATGCTGGAGTTAAATTCATGGCTTTTATGTTCCATGCTGTGCTGGGATTACTGGGGAATTAGGTAGCATTTGGGCACAGGTGTATGTGTGAGCTGTGCCCTTGGCTTGAAGTGACTGAAGATTTTTAGTGCAAGCACTGACTCCATAAGAACTTCCAATTTTCTTAGAAAGATACCTCCATGGCTGGGGCTTGGGGTCCAGTATCATCTTCTTAAATAGAGGTGCCTAAATATGGAATACATTTTATATTAGCTGTCAAATCAAATAATCTGAATTGCACTCTGAAGCCATTCCAGTCTCCTTGGGAAATCTGAGCTGCAATGTATCTCACATGGAGAATCCCTCTAGTGTTCCCATTTCTCTCTCCCACTTGGTTCTACTAGCAAAGCATCATGACAGCCAGAGACAGAAACTTAGAAATAGGGTCAGTCAAGAGTTTATAGTTGCATTGCACATTATTTTCCCACATAACTGCATATTTGTGAGAATAATAATGCAATAATAAATGCAAACATGCTTGGACAACAAGTGGCAAGTCAGGTCCCGATTGCTCAGTCAGGGACATGCAGATGTGTTCCAGAATCACAAGCCACATGTTTTTAGACTTTCACCTTGCATGCAGAAAGTGTTAATCACGGCCTGTGTCAGGGAAGGCGAGGTGAGCTTCAGACCATACCTGGAAGCAGTTCCTTGGGCACTTAGATTGGACTAATATCCCTTAACTTCTGATGTCAGCCAATTAATTAAGATACATTTTCAGTCCCTTTCTTATTTCAGAATTCTTATAATTAAGACTCTGACCATTCAGATTACTTTATAGACTCTCAAAATGAATAATGATTGGTTGCTATATTTCCTTAAAATAGTATTATGGATGTCTGAACAGGTTATCAGTTCTGGCAGCACAGTTTGTTTTGCATGGAAGATGAAAACATTTTTTAATATGTTCAGGAAGTATTTGTAAACATTCAAAGTGGATATGCCTTGTTCTGATTTTGGAACAGTAGTTTCTTGACTTCTGTGCAAGTAATCTTCCTTAACTTGCTACCCAAAAGACTGAAGTCCTCTGCTGTTCAAGATGTCAGAGAATTACTAGGTGTTAGTACTGCCTGGTTACAGTATGCAGTGCTAATCTACAATCCCTTTGAACTGGCATACCTCTCTCTTTATGCCCAACAGTTCCACTGTGTAAGTCCTCTGTTTGGAAAAACAAGTGACTGGTATGTACTCCAATGTTTTGTAGCACCTGTCCTCTTCTCCCTCCCCAAAGCTAAATACAATAAAAAGACCACTAACCACACTTGCCCTTCCTCCCTATGTGATTTCTCTAAGACACTGTACACAATGTCACGTGTCAGTAGGGCACTGGAGACTCGTCCATACCACAGGCTTCAGACTGCACCACATCTTGCTGTCATCTTTTCTTAAGTCTGTACTGCAAGGGGGAAGCTATAAGCCCAAGGGATGGTGGCTTGTTACTAGCAGAATGAAGTTGCAAGTCTGCAAAGCACTAAGTGCACTAAACAGGAATTGGTGACGCAATAAAACCAACTAACTGGAAAAAGTTCAGTTTATGAGAAAAAAATATCTCTTCCAATAAATGCTTGAGATAAAAAAAAAAGCAAGAATCGATGTTTTCTTAGCTTTCTGGAGGTTTGTTAACAAAGCTTTAAGAAAGTATTACTGATGTTAAATCCTGTCTTTCAAAATCAGTATAGGAATATTTATTCAGAGAGAGCAGCAAAAGAAAGAAAACAATTGCTGAGCTATTCCTGTCAAAGGCGTGACCTGCACACAGCAGAGGAGTAGCTTCCAGAGTCTGGAAGAGTGTTGTCTTTGAGACAGGAACGCGGACATGCTGGCTGAAAGGAAAAACTCCATCAGAAACCAATTAAGCCCAGTTAAACTCAAGTGTTACTAAGGACAAAAAGACTGTTCTTGTTGTTTGAATTGCTAAACATTTAATGAAAACAGTATTTTCACAAGGAGCTTACTGGCAAAGCCAAAATTTAATTGTTGCTGTGTCCAGTTACCCATACTTCTTACTACTTAATGTCTTTGTATCATGCACATGTAACCTCAATTACAATAACATATGATATTTAATGGGGTATTTAACAGGCTATTTAGTGTGTTTGACTTTGTGGCACCCATGGTAAGTATGGAGGTTATCTTATATCTTATATATATATATCTTGAAGGTGTCTTCAAGTTATGGATAGAGAAATCTGGTTTAATATGAGGTTATGAGAATGTGAGTTAAATGAGATCTCATCTAGCTTTAGCACTTTAGATGTTAGTTGTCTAAGTTGGTTGTCTGGGCTCTGTGTCCTGTTGAAGGAGAAGACACCCCCAGGAGGCAATCCATCCCCACCCTAAAATGAGATAAACCAACCACACAGGTGCCTCTCTGTTGTCAAGTTTGTAGCCCAAGATGAGGCATCTCATGCCAGGGAAGATGAAGTGTCCCTTCTGGGACATGAGTGGATTCCTGTAGGATGGGGGAAGTAGAACATGCTCTCCCACCTCCCCAGGCAGACCCGGAACCACAAGCCATTCTTCCTCTCTGCTAGTTAGTCACTAATTGAAAGGGTTTCCTATTGCACTGCAGGCTGGGCTTTTCTTTAATTTTTACAAACTAGGTGGGGAGAGGTGTACTTAGTAGTACTGATGTGTTAAGATGGGAGGCCACAAAGAAAATCCAGCTGACCAGGAAGCGGTGCTGGTGACTCAGTAAATGGCATGGCAACGAGTGTCCTGGCATGGTGACTTTGAGCCTTCCTGGTTGTTCTAGGTTAAATCTCAGAGCTGCTAGTCATATGTCACAAGAGCAAGGTATTGAACCCCAGACAAATTATATGATAGATAACTCTGGCCTCCTTGCCCTTACCTGCAGCTTCACCTAAATTACACAGTCTTACACACAAGCCAATTCAAACGTTTCTGAGGCCAGGTGAAGTTGCTACCTTTTGTCCCAGAGGTGGCAGCAGTCTGGAGCGAGTGAAGCGATTTCTACATGTGCAAGGAGTAAAGCCCTGTGGGATTTTAGATGGAGAGCACTGTGGAAATGGAACATACCAATAATTCGTGAAGTGGCATAATGTTTAGAGCTGAGATATTGCAATGTGCCCATTAATGTAAAGGGTTCACTGATGCTCGAGTCCATACAGCAGCCCCGAGCAGCACTCTTCCCACAATAAGTAGAAAGCAGGAGGAGCAGCAGTGCTTGTGTTTGACTTGCAGTCCTGGCTTTCTTCTATCTTGGTGCCTGGCCACAGCAGGGAGATAACCAAATATTTGCAAGCAGTTCAGATACCCTGCCCTTCCCACCTCCACTCAGGAGGTGGTGAAAGTAGTTTAACTACCAGTGGGAACAGACAGTTCACCATGGATGTCCACAGCACTAAAACCCATGCAGCTAATGCCAGCTTGAATGTGACTTGGGGGTCACGTTGCAGCCTTAGTTCTGTAATTCTACATCTGTTGCATTGTGAATTCCTTCAAGTTACTCTGTGGTGTATTTTAGACACTGCCAAGGGAGGGGAAGAAATCTGCTAAGGTATTTCACATCTCTGTTGGGCAGAGTCTCACCATGCAGGTCTCAAGCTCTTCAGGGAAGAAAACTTGACCTTTCCTCAACATGCTGTGAAATTGTTGGAAGCAGTTCTCAGTGGCAAGAGCAAGCTGCCTGGAAGCCTCCCTATTGCTGGCCCAATTTTAACTGCTCCCCTGTCATCATGTCCTAGTACCACAGCTTTAATAAGACTAGCATTGTTTTGGCAGATGAACCCAGAGAGAGTTAGTTAGCTCTCAGCACAGAAAGCAGGACAGAGTCTAGAGCCTGGCTTGTTCTTCAGCTCTGCCCTTCCCTTACAAACTCAAAGTCTCACAGATACTCCTGGGGTGTTTCCAGCTTCAACACCTATCAGCAGCCTATGTGGGACAGGAAGGATATTTGTCCCTTGCAAGAAATCCTTAAAGCAAAGCAACTAAAGAGGTGGACAAATAGATGTGTCTTAGAGTGTCTTTGCTATCCTAGCCTGAATGGTCTCGTATCTTTTTAAAAGCTGTAAAACTGTTCTTTGAACTGACTTTCTTTAGAGACTAGGAGGATTTTGGGGGCCTGGGCTGTACCAAATGCTGGGCATAGCTCATGACATTGTGGTGACTAGCCATAGCCATTCCAGGGATATGGCCATGATTGATGTCTCTGGCTTCAAAGTGGAGACAGCACCTTGTTTTAGTAGGATGGATGGTGTTACCTGGTCTGGGAACGTGGTGATTTAGAAGCTGCTTCACATGCAGCTCAGCTTTGTGCTTGGCAAAGGGAGGCTGGTGCTGGGAGGTTTAAGCCGTTCAGCTTCTCTATCCTATACTTTTTTTTCAATTCAGAAGTGTTACATTGGCTTCTACTTCTGCAATCCAGAATAGTAGTGTGCAAAGGAGGCTTTCAATGCTCTCCTGCCTGACCTGTGGGTCTCCTGCTGCACCATGGAAATCTTTCCCAGTTAGAGCGGCAATATTTTTGTTACAATTTACTTTTATGGTGTTTAATTCAATTCCAAGTGAAAACATTCAGAATTGGCTATGAAGTAAATGGTTATTTTGTTTTCATGCTAATGCTACCCCTGTTGCTACCCTGTAATCAGCTGTTGTGGAAACAATGCAATGTCCCTAGGGTAAGTTCAGAAAAACCTTCACCCACAGTGCACCCACAGATAAATCCAGTTTTAGCAACGTGCTATTTAAAGCATTCTGCTCTGCACATAGGGCATCAGCAAGATGCACTCACTTGGAGCCAGCTCCAGATTACCAGTTTCTCTCTATTGTTTCTCAGACCCTACATGTCCATTGGAACACTACGTGATCAAGTCATCTATCCAGACTCAGTAGATGACATGCACGAGAAAGGCTACCAAGATCAAGATCTGGAGTGTATCCTGCAAATGGTTCATCTGTACCACATAGTGCAAAGAGAAGGAGGTAAAGTGCATGGTTTTGTAACAAGCTTTGCAAAATCCATTCCTTGCACGTGTGTCTTAGTGTGACTGACCTTTCCATACCAAACTGGCAAAACTAGATCCAGACCTTTTGAGGTTGTGGGAGCTGCACAACCACATGGTTGTTTCTCCTAATGCTAACAGAGGGAGAAGAGCTAAGCGCTCCCCTCTTCCCCAGTAAATCCATGCCCAAGCCCAAAATCTTTGTTCTCTTGTAAAGGCCAGTCTTTTCATGGTATTGTGAGATCACTCATCTTCCTTCATTTTCTTAGAAAAAAATAACCTGTCTTAAAACCTTGTGATGCCACTGACTACATCAACCCAAAAGCACATGAATGAAAGGAGAGTCAGGTCTTCTTTCACTTCCCTGGTTTGTGTGATAAGGAGGACTATGTGCTGTGAGAAAGAGTGGCTGATACCACACCACCACAGTGAAAAAGTTAAAAATAACCAAACAACACTGGCTGACAGTATAGTGTTGCCATCTACCACTTGCTGTTTAAGTTGATCTGTGTTTTCAACATTGTTTGTCATAGAATCATAGAATGTCTGGGCTGGAAGGGACCTCCAAAGGTCATCTAATCCAACCTCCCCTCAATAAGCAGGGACATCTCAAACTAGATCAAGCTACTCAAAGCTTCATATAGCCTGATCTTGAATGTCTTCAGGGAAGGGGCCTCCACCACCTCTCTGGGTAACCTATTCCAGTGGTCTAATGTGGTTCTAGTTTGTCCTAAGAGTAGAAGACAGTGTAGATACATTGGCACAGTAAAGGCCAAGATGCTAAAGGCTTCTCATGTGTCTAAGGAACTGGAGCATTTAGTGTTTTTTTTTTTTCCCCAAGCATAGCAATAATTTTCAATCTTTTGTTCCTACCAACCACTAATCCCTAGTTTGAACTTCCTCCCTATCATTATGCTTTTAAAAGACATGACAAAGTTGGTAACATTTAGAGAGAAGAAGGAGGATCTTCAAACCCCTCTAGGGAGCTGATGTCAGGAGTGCTGGATGTACCCTGCCTTTCTCTGTCAACTCTCCGTGCTTGTTTTTGAGAGGGTACTTCTGGTGCATTGTCTTGTAATGTGTTTGCTGGGTGTGTCTCTCAGGATCATTCTGACCGTACAGAGTAGCGCTTTGGCCATTGGGAATTTGAAGGCAATGTCTGAATTCCCATTTCTGGATGTCAGCCTGTTGCTCTGTTGAAAAGACAGATAGCGTATTTTATTTTTGAAGTGTGCATGGACACTCATCTGGTGTCATTTCTGCACATTTTAGAACGGGAAATAGTAATCATTTACAGCAGCAGCTGTATACTGACAGATACTTCTCCACCTCACAATCCTGTTGATAGACTTACCTTGCCAGGGGTTAATGCTTCTTTGTTAAGAATGTAATAATGACTGTTGACCCTCAAGCTGCAATAGAAAGTAAGAATCTGCAATCATTCTGATTCATATGGTTATTCAGATCTGATACTATGCCACAAGGAGTGAAAAAGTGGGCAGAGAACTAAACTCAGTGACAGGAACAATTGCAGAGGAGGCTCTACTCCCTGCACTGTCATAACTGTTCCTGCTAGTGTTCCTGAGTCACTTCGCTAAGTGAAGTGCTCAGGCTGCAGAAGAACAAGCAGATGTGTTGGAACGGGGAGCTGGAAAGGGAGGAGCAGTTAAATTGTCAGCAGCAAGGAGGCACTGAGGAGTGCATCTTCAGAACCTGCTGGTACTTGTAGATGTACTGAACAACACATGACCCTCAGTGGCCAAAACCATACCCCCAGCAGACTCTGAATGCACATTGTTGTGGTTTATAACCCTGTAGCTGGAGCATGAACTGATGATGGGACAGTTACTGTGCTCCACATGTGAGATGTCGTTGGCTAGGGTCAGAGTTCTGTATTACCAGACTGAAAACTCAAGTTTGGATCAGGCTCACTCTGCTCTCTGTGCCAAAGAAAATATTTATTGCTGACCCCATTCTTGCTCTTCTGCCTGCCTGCCTGCGCATGCGAGACACACACAATCCATAAAGAAGTCTAGAGGACGCTGTTCATGTTCGCTGGTGCCCTATTAAAGCTCCACTCAAGATAAGGGCACGCTGTGCAAGTCTGCACAAACAAATGTTAAATAAAAAGTGTCTTAGGGAGCTTGTGATCTAAAATGACAGAAGCGGGCAAAGCCGGAAAACAAGAGAAGAGATTACCACATACCAGGAAGTTTTTAGGAACATAATACACTTACTTGTTCCCTTTTCTTCTTGGGCATTTATGGGAGACAAGTACCAAGGTAGGCGCAGAGAGGAAATCCGTGACATATGATTTGACACGTTACATGAATTTCATATGCTTACATATTCTCTACAGCTCCCTGAGTCTGGGACAAAGACTCAAAGGCTGGTTTTTTTGAACCAGCAAGCCAGAGGAATATTTGGTGAAAGTGAACAATTGAAATTTTTTTTCTATGTAGGTGAATTATTTTTTTTAGTTCAAATTTTTATTTTATTCTTTTGCTTAAAATCATATTTTTAAACTAAGATGATTTCTATTAGAAATTGAACTTTTTTCTTAAAGCTCGTAGAATGAGGGGTTTGCCCCAAATGGTCATTTTCCTTTTTGCAAACTGCTTTGATAGTGGACAAACACTGACATTTTACAATAGAAAAAAGTGTTGCCGAAAAATTCCCTGGAAGTTTCTATTTATATGTTGTATCCAATTTTTGAAAATGTACTACATCTGAAAATAAAAACAAAAACAGTTTTAGTTTTTCAGATTCTTGTGGATGTAGGGGATATGCACATACTATTTTGAATTGTTTCTATAAACTGTTCTATGAATGGAGCTGTCAATCATTAAGTTTTTATATAAAAATCAATATAGTTCTGCAATATGCTTTTCTGTAGATCCTCTTAATTTTCAGAGCCTTACCTCTGTCTCTTTGCCTTTCACCTATGCCCTGCAGTATTAAGCCTCTGCCAGACAGCAGGCTCCTTGAGTCATGATCCTGTTGTGCTCCCTGTGGGCAGTTACGAAAAATCCAGATGGAGTCAAAAGTGCTCAATTCTGACTCAGTTTATTTGTCCTGGCAAAACTTTATTGTCTTTAGCTGAATTACTTCCACATTGCATCAGTACAAGGGTCACCAGATTCAAGGTGTGAAGTAGCCAACAAGAGCCTGATGTTGTTCTTGTTGCTGCCAGTGGCAGAAATTCCTCTCTTTTTCTAGCAATAAGGGTTGGCCCAGTTAGAAGTAAACAGAGTAGCTACAAGAATAAGTAGCCCAGTTTGCCATTTAGCTTCTGTGTTACCCTCATGAAAGTTTTTTTCAGTCAGTAGCAACTGAATACACCAATACCAAAATAACATCTCTGTCCCCACCACCACCATTCCTGATGTCCCTGAGCCCAAGCCCTGGAAGAACCCACTGCAATTTCTGTTGACTGTAGCACCTCTTGCTGCTAGGGACAGAATTTCCTTCCCACTGAATCCCACACTAATATTTTTCTTATCTCCTGGATATTAGAGGGATGCCATTTTGTTACTTACCTTTGTATTATCAATAAGGTGCCCCTATCAACACCTGCAAAACTGCTAGCTCTGCCAGAACAATAATGTCATACAAAATGGGGATAGCAATGAAGGTTGTATTCAGCACAGATTATGAAAGGACATGTCCAGAAATCATCAGTAGTAGCGTGGAGAAGTGTGGTAGGTACACAAAGAGTTGTTCCCTTTTGACCCACTTTGAAAGTCTGTGTATATTTAGCAAGTGTCAGTTGTGATGCAGCCTTAGGGTGCCACTAGCCTGTCACATGAGGGGAGCCATGAGTACGTGTAGCAGCACACTGAATGCATGACTAGGCCTGTCAGGTTGGGGCTGATGACATTACTGAACAAGTTCAACTTGTTTATGGTTTCTTAGCACCCCAGATTATAATTGTTCCTCATTATTTTGCACATTTGTCATAGTTCTGGGTCTTCTCCAGGGAACTATTGTGCTAGGCCATAGATAAACACACAGACAAACACATTTCCTCTCTCTGAGATTTTTTTCATCTGATCATTTTAGCACTGGATTTGCTTTTGTTACTGGTGCCATCAGGAACTCAGGAGTGCTCTGCTAGCTTTTCCAGTGGCTCTAAAATCCAGAGGTACAGATCCCTGCAGTATCATGCTGAACTGGGGCTCATGCAGATGATGGTCTCTTTGTTCCTTCCTCAGCTAAGGATTGCCCTAGCATGTTTGTCCTGCGCAGCACCCAGGCTCTCTCCATTTTGAGAGCTGCCCAGGGACATATGCTGTGCTAGAGGCTTCCGTGTTCAAAGCCTCACCAGGGGTGGACTCGGGGTGCAGTTTGCTGCAGTAGCCTTTCTTCTGTCATGAAGCTGTGATGCTCTAGTCTGTGTCTGATGAGGTGCATTGGAATGTAGATCTGGAAAAAGAACTTTTAAGGGTTGAAGTGACCACAGAGATGACCATTGTATCTTGGTGTTTCTGTGTTTTGTAGCCTGGAGGCTAAATGTTTCACCTTTAGAGGAAATAACAGAATGACTTTGCTGACAAGATAATGCTGCTTCTTGAACTTGATTCGCTTTTTTGTTTTTAATAAGTCTTTATAAACCAGCTGAACACAGACACGTGCACACGTGCACACCCACCCACACCCTAGCTCAGATCCAGATACCTGAAGCCCATCAATATTCTTAGCTTAAAAATAACATAATATAAGCAACAGCCTAAATATTGTCTTCAGAAACATAGTTGTTTCTCTGGCTTTCAGGAAAGACCATTTCCATCCCTTTCCCCTAGAATCCTTTGCCAAAAAAGAATTATCCAGGTGTTTTACAGTCTTTTTTGGGAAGCTGAAGGTGTTGGTGGTCCAGCTCTCTGTGTGGTCCCAGCACGAGGACTGCTCATCAGCAGCAGCCTCTGTGTATCTGTTCCCTTTGCCAGAGTTTATCCAAGTCAGTTTATCCGATTCAGTTAATCATTACACAACCCCATCTTTGCCAGGAGCCTGCTGATAGGAAGCACTGTATATGCACCCCGGGGGGTGCCCACTGGGATCCTTAAACAGGAACGGGAGGAAGATAAGCAAAAGCAATAGGATCACTAAAGGAGTTGTTTTTCTGGTGCGTGCATGCCTGGGTTTTAAATCTACCTAGATACACACATACTAAACATTTCTTACATTATATTTTGTAATTTTACAGAGAGAAAATTCTTGGAATTCATTCTCTAGCATTATCAGTTCCTATTTTCAGTCACACAGCCTCTCACCAGATGCTTCATTGAGGTTTTGTTCAGACCTACCAAGTCGTGGCATAGCACCAGACATGGGCAGGGCACTCCTCAGCCTCCTGTGTCTTCACAAGCCCTACTGGTCTCAACTTCAGTCAGGTGTCAGAAGTGACCCAGCCCAGCCTCCTTCCTTGACCTTGTTTATAGCCTTTAGTGTTTATTTTCAGTTAGGCAGCAGCAGAAAAAGGGTTTTGGTTGTGTCGTTCATTTTTTCAGTTACAGTGCTTCTGGGCTGATTTGGAAAAATGTTCTGTTCCTTGCTTGGCCCTGCTCCAGCTGCATGTCTCATGAATTGATGATCTATTGAAAGAAATGCCTTATCAGATTTTCTCTACAAACGTACTCTCCCTTTTCAAAACTCATCTATTTTGCTTCTCTATCCTTTTGGGTTGTTTGATTGAAAACTTCTTTTCGGTAGGGTGATTTGGTATTTGAGTTTTTTCATTAGTGGTAATAAATCATGCCCGAGTACTCACAGAAACACCAGTCTGCTGTAAGATTGCTCATAAAATGCATCATGCTCCCATCTCATGTATCTGGAAATGATAAAGAAAAAAATCAGTTAGAGGCTGTGCAGAAAGTGAAATAAGGATACTCAGTGTTGTAGCAGTTGTGGGTCATTTAAGTAGCAGGAAGCTGGTCTAGAAAATCCTCCTGCCTGTGTGCAGTTTTATCTGTGAGCTCCCTGTCTGTGCTCACAGAATGCACCCGTGTGTTTGCACCTGTGTTCCTCTGGAGTTTGCTGAGTCCTCCTTTGCCTGCGGCAGTGAGTGGAGTCTGGCACTGCACTTTAGGCTTCCTACACTTTATTTCTTTGAATTTGCTTTTAGGTTCCCACTCATACCTTTAGGAAGGAATAGCAAATTATTCTGATTAGTTGTACACAGGCAAAATATGTTTTTTCAAAGAGATGGTAAGTAAAGTTTTTTGACAATACGTATGAGACCAAGAAGGTTAAATTCCACTTTCAAAATTGACATATTTGGGACATTTTTCCAATTGAGTGCTAGTGGAAAGACACTGAGTTGTTTCAGAAGATGTGATCCAGAACCTGGAGCTGTCTCTCCTGCAATGGAAATGCTCTTTATGATTTTGGTTGCAGATTCCAGAGGTATTTTCCTTCATAAACTTACATTGTCCTGATGTGTATTATTTACATTTTTTTTTAAAAGGCTGGGATGCCATAATGGATTGGAAAGATGTCTTATCAGGAGGAGAAAAACAAAGGATGGGCATGGCTCGGATGTTCTACCATAAGTAAGGCTTTTGATTTGTTCTTTAAGTAGCATCTGAAACTGAGGAAGAGTTTTGCAGGTTTCCTCTTATAGTTTGAACAGTCGTGGACTATAATCTCCAAGCAATATGCAGTACTGCTTTATGGTTGCGTAGGACAACAGACAGACCTTACCATTTATTCATACAAGCCCTGCTTTTAGTTTGGGCAATGCTTGTTACCTAAGCTTTGCTTTTGTCAGCATAATGTTGCTTTTTCCAGATGTTCCTTTCTTTAACATCTCAGACACAAAAATCTTCCCTGCATCTATCCTGCAAATATTGCAGAAGGATGGTGGAGTGTTGCAGAGGCTATGGGAGTTTGAAAGCCAGGCTCCAAACCTTTCTGGGTTTGGAGGCTGCAGTCACTCAAAGGCAGCCTGGTCCACGCATAGCCATGAATAGAAAGTTTCTGAGTTGGCTGTGCTACCTCATGACTTGATGACAGGACAGAATACTACTAGGTCAAATGAGAACACAGAAGTTAGATCATTGTGTACTCAGATAGACCAGAAAATAAACCCCATTTTTCCTGGAAGTTTGCTCTGCACCTGAGTAATACGTGGAAACTTTATGTTGTTGCTAGCCAGCTTTCAGCTGTAGATGAGAGACAGCTGTCTGGCAAAATTAGCTTTCTCCTTTCTGTTGTTCTTTCAATTAAGCATCATACGTGGGAATACTGAACAAAACATAGAAGAGTAATGTTCTTTATCTGCTTTTGAAAGGCCGAAATATGCATTGCTGGATGAGTGCACGAGTGCTGTAAGCATAGATGTTGAAGGAAAGATATTCCAAGCTGCAAAAGCTGCTGGGATATCCCTGCTTTCTATAACACACAGACCTTCTCTTTGGTAAGTACATTCTAGGATTTATCATGTCCTTCCTTTCAGCTTTGTGACAGGCAGTGGATTGGCCTTGTGGTGTGGCTGACACGCTTGAGGGA